CTAGTGCATCTGACCATATTATACCATTTTTCTCGGGTACAGAGTTATTACAGGTTGTTATAGATTAATTATAGAGTTTATAAAAAATAAATTTAGAGCGGCAAAAAATTTTTCTTTATAGTGTATTTAATGTGCCGTCAATCATGTGACATTTTTATTTCTTTGATTTATTTTTATGGATATACATATATATTATTATTATGAATAACAATATTATATTTATATTGTGTTATATTTTTGAGTGCTATTATAATTATGAATGCATTTATGTTTTACAGAGAAACTTGTGTGCTATTTTCGCCGCTTGGAATTGTTCCTGCCGTAATTTCGTAACATAGTAAAAGGCGCGTCGGGAGTGCGGGAGTATCGTGATAGTTTCGTGCGAGTACGAAACAAATCTAGCGAATCGTATAAATGATTACATTTCCGCTGAAAGATATTGGAATACTTTCTTCGAGTTTATTTTGGACAATTCGGTTCGATTCGTCTACGATGTCGAGAGTGTTGTTTAAAGTGCTACGCGATTTTTGTACTCGGGTACGCGAGTAATACACACCGCGAACGCGTGTGAATACCTCGAAGGGTCGCTGAAAGGAGGACGAGACCTAGGAGGCATCGGGCGACAACAGATCAACGTTGCGGTAAGTAATTTATTATAAAAAATAAACTTTTTTAACAATAGTGGAAGAACTAACTTAATATAAATGCAGAATTGTCTTCTGCAAGCTAGATTTATTATTTATCAAAATTATTTTTATTTATCTAAAAATTTATTTAACACAATAAAATGTAAAATATGAATTGTGAAAAAATAATATCACAGTTATATTTGAAATTCTCATGTGACGGAATGCATTTATATTAAACATACAGATGTGTAAAAAAAAACTATTTCCGTCAGAATGAAAATAAAAAGGAAAATTTTTGCTTTTATTTTCTAAAAATATTTATAGAGAAAGAGTTGGGTCGAGTTTAATATGCGTATTTTGCAAAATCGATGCATTGAAATAAAAAAATGAGTTTACCTTGATTTTTATATCGTCATTGATAGAGTTCTTTGTCATTCTTCTTTTTGGAAGATCTTCAAAACGATAGAATTTCTATGGCCTTCTTCGTTCAACTGTCATACGATCTTACTGTCATTAATGTTGAAAATCCAGGATTCCTCACTTCATGCAATTTAGCATGTTTTTTCTGTAAAAAATTTGCTGATTTAATCTTTTGTGGGCAAGAAATTAGCAAGTCTGTGCTGATTTCATCGAATTTCCGATTTCAATTCGATTGCATCAATCTGCTTTAATATGCGTTATCTACTGCAGAACTTTAGAGTTCTAATCTCATAATTTTATTTTCTCTTCAAAATAGTTGTTTAAATAATTACGTAATAATTTGCGCGTAATATTCCGAGTAAGTAATGGATATATATTGCATTTGTTTATAATATTATTTATAAGTACTTATATTGTCGATTATAAAGACAACTAGAAGGAAGTAGGAACAAACTTTATATATTTGATTATATATAAATAACTTGATCAGTTTCTTTGGTGCATAGCTCAGCAAGATGGGTTAATATTATCAAGTAAATAGCGATAACATATTGCAGCGGTAAGATATTGCTACTAATTTACAATCAGTTGAATGTTATTAAAGATAAACGTTAGTAGAGATTACATGACTGACTTTATATCACGAAATTGCCATTGAGGAATATTACAATGCATGACGTAAAAGATAGATATAAATTTTTATTTTATGATATGACTTTATTGGTTAGTAAACGATTAACTTATAAGACGATTAGTTGCATTAATTAAAATTGATTATTTTGATTAATGTAGCTAATAGTGATCTAATTGTTATTATATGAATTGTGATGTGTATGAACTTTAATCAGCATTTTTAATTGATCCATCTCTTTTCTATTAATCTTCCACTCAAATAATGTATATAAAATAATTGTTTTCCGTTTTTATATTTTTTATTAATAATTCTTTCTTTGATTAAAATCAATTAAATTGATAAATTGATTAATTGATAAATAAGTTTTAATTTATGTGATAAAGTAAATAAAATTGATAAAATCAATGGAGTACAATAACAAATATTTATGTTTATTTATCGCTGTTATTGCTTTTTCAAAATATATACGAATAAATACCATTTGTATGTGTTATTGAGTGATTATGTAAAAGAGTATACAATGTATATAGATTAGTAAAAGCAAAATATGCAGTTTTAATTATTCTTAATTATTAATTAACTTTACTATGTTAGGTTTAATATAAAAAAAATTCTGTTTGCGTGTTTGTGGTGTTCGCTAATTTTTTTAAAAATAAAGTAGTTGAGATTTTTTTATTGATCAACAAGGACCACTGTATAAATTAATCAATTTCAATATAAAAAAATTTGCATATATATTTTAAGTCATTTATAAGTTTTTTGGAATGAAAAAGATCGAAAAGAAATCAAATACTTTTGAATAAGAGTTAATCGATCAATGGATTTTCTATATCTCACCACTATCCGGCTTTTTTCATTTAATTCGGATAAATTTCAATATTATTTGAATCATATTTAGTGTAATCATTCATTGATAAAACAATCTTCTTTGATTACTTTGTTTGTTGTGTAATATGTGCTGTTCAGCAGCCGACACGATATCGTCTGTGCACGTGGTCCGCTACTATTGCAACAGTGCGCATGCAACGCGCATAATATCGGAGATTATGTAAATAACGCATACACATAATAACACCAACAATTAACTTATCACATGTCCACTTCACATGTTGATTCACGTTTTTCGTTTTCTAATTCGGTTCAAGACGTGTTATTTGTTCCAATTTTTACATAATCACTTACGAGTTTTGATAATGGTAGTCAACCGGATGCTTCGGTTGAGAACAATGCGTATGCGCAAGGCTACAACGCGACAACGTGTGAGTGCATTCCGTATGCGATTAGCTGATATACTAACAAATATGCTTGCGACCAACTGCACGTTGTTTTGCTGCGATATGCTATCCGTATGCTACTCGATTGTAAGAGTGTCAGGTCAACCATCCTTTTAAATGGAACGAGACCAGCGACATCTCGTGATATAATAAAGTTAAAGAAATTTATTCTGTAGGGTTTTCCGGCGAATATGGATAGTATTTTTATCTTTAGTGTTCTTCTCTCAGTCGATCTTGTTTGTCATTTTGATTTTGAATACGTAATTTATTTTGAAACTTGATTTGTAGTACATTTTGTACGTGGTTGGTAGACTCGGTAACGTTATTGATCTGTTTAGTGGCTTTGGTTTTCGTGGGAAATTTGAAAGAGTTGAATTTGTTCTGATTTAGATTTACAGTGACAATCATTAATTAAACTACTTTTTTTGTTTTTATTTTGTAGATTATTACAAACTTGATCTCTGCAACAATCCTGTTAATAGTTTTTTTTTTTTAGCAACTTATTCGGCTTTTTCGGAATCGAGGTTTAACTAGCACCAAAATAAAAGAAATATTAAAAATTTTTTGTTATTTTATTTTTCAATATTCAGATTATTAGCAGATAATGAACATTTACAATTTTTTTAATGAAATTACGTAACAAATAATAAAATACAAATGTATTATATAATTATTAGGTTTAATATTAAATAATTTTATGAACTGTTTCTGTTTGTCGTTGAAATTTGAATATATAATAATATACTGTTGTTCCGGCCAACAGTTCATAAATATCTGTATAGATTATTTGAGAAGGTTAATGAGAAGTGAGATGAAATGTGAGAATGACGAGTAAGCTCGGATAACAAATCGGATTTTTCGTGTAGCTGGAAAGATTAAGATAATTTGATATATAGATGTAACATTCTAAAAACAGCAAAAATGCACCTATAAACTTAATACATAAAAAAGCAAAACAAAAGTTTATTCGAGTCATCTTTTACTTCATGAAAATTTTTTATTAAAAATTAAAATAATAATTAAAAATATTAATACAATAAATATCATTTGGAAATTATTGAAGTTTTGCTAGAGTTACAAGTTATGTAACAAATGCTTAAATTGGTATTTATATTTAAAGATGACGAATAATTGTCACACTAAAAATATACTTAATTATAAAATTGTTAAATTATGTTTTATCATTTGAAAGAATATATTTTCTTTTTGCAAAAAGAATGCGGAGGATGTAGAAATGGGGAGGATAGAAACTAAATAACTCGTGTTTATTAAAAATTTATTTTGTATTATTAGTTTTAATCACGGCGCGCGATTATGGTTATGATATAGATGCGTGATTTTCAGTGAATACTGAAGTTTAGGCCATCGAAGTCACATCAACATTTTTTCTCGGAGCGATAACAAATATTATATTTCTCGCCTTATCTCATGTTTGATGTTAGCTAACAGCTTTCTGTATTCATCTTTATCATTACGTATTGACTATAAAACCAACGTGACATTCTGTCGACGTCGTAGACGAAGTTTCCGCGTTTGCCTATCGTAGGCAAGTTTTCTTGAGGAGAGACTTTCTCGCTGAAGAAAATAGTCGGCCACATTTCGATTCCAACTCTAGAATCTCAAGTACATCCCAATTCTTATGAGATACTTTCTACAATACTAGTTATAATAACTACTAACATACTGTCGACGAGTTGTAAAATTTTTTATTTTGTGTGTATTAAACTTATATTATTCTAGCTATTTATCTTTTTAACATCCACAATTTATTTAAAATATAAAAAAATAAGTTACTTATCATCGAATCCTCGGAGTTTTAAAGAGTTTTAAGAAATAGTTCTTTGATACTTCTTGTAATAAAGTAATGCTGGAATGTATCATAATTCTCGTCGACAGAGTTAATGGCTATTGTTTGGACGATTAAGTTTTTGACGCTAATAGGCTCCTAACACAGAATAAATGGTCTTATGACGTAAGAGCTTACACAATTACTCTGATACGGTGCGATGTGCAGTAAGTTTGAGTTCGAGTTAATATGGAATATTTGTGCTCCGATTTTACTTCGTACGTGAAGTTTAACAAGAAATTATTTAACAAGAAAAAGCGGCATTAATTCTGATAAATAAATAAAGTAATATAGGAGAAATATTCGAGAACTTTGATTTCTAATAAGCAATTATGTTTGATTAAAAAAAAGATATAGATTTATCTAATAATAAAATAAATTTAATATTTTATGATAATGACTTTAAAATTTTTTCATATATGTATATATATGTATGTATACATGAGAATACATGTATGTATACATATATTTAAAATATATTTTGTTTTTTTTTAAACAACGATTCAAGTATTTTTATTTAAATAAAAAGGTAGAAGAAAAATCGTCGATCTTAGCACAAATAACCCATTGTGTATGCTTTAGTATGATTCAATTGTGTTCTTTTATTTCAACAATTGTGCTATTTATCAGCTTCACCGCGTACGTCGATTAACATTTATTAGCTGAACCTGTCAGCGCCATTAAAATTCTCACGAAAGCACAAATTTTATATTTATTTATGCTTAATTGTGTACCGTTTTGATCGATTGGCGATCAGCCTGATCGATCGTTAAATTTGTTGCGGTACACATAATTAGATTGTGAAAACTCTCTCTCTCTCTCTCTCTCTCTCTAGTGTTTAATCCAATTTGACTTGATTCGACATATTATTTTTTACATATGACATCTTATTTGACGAGTCGATTATATTATGTGCCCATTAAATATGGCATCTCATTTAATTATTTAAGTGAATTTAATTAATCACTCAGGTGGATTAGACTTGTCAAAATATTTTTTACATGGTCTACTGTTTTCTCTATAACAAATATAGTTCTTTTTTTTTATTTATGCAAAGGATCGCCTAAGCGCACAGAAGATCGATATGTATATTTTGATCGAGATGATCGAGCTCGCGTCGCGCCGATAGACACACACATCTATCTATGTATACACTTTGGCCAAATTTGTACATATGCTTCTCAAGCGCTCCATATACATACATACATATTTACATGCCTGCGAATTTATCTAATTTGTTCGACATTGAATGCAGCAGGATCATCGCATAGCTTTCGGACGATCGATTATTTCTACACAAAAAAATGTGCTTGTTAGAGATCACAATATAATTTTCATATTATTTAAACATATTTTTAATTTTCGAAATGTGACATGCTGTAAGTAAAAACAAATATAATTACCAATAATTGTTTTTTGTATCGTGGATGAACTCAGAAGTTATGTTTTTGAGTATTTGAAGTAATGTAAAAAAATTTATTTTTTTATTGTGGCACTACAAAGTATTTATCTTTCCATTTTTTGGTGTTTACAATTGCATCAGCTGTGTATGTCGTGTTTGCTGCTTAAATCGCATCGACTTTTCTTATTTGTCTTTCGAACAGAAGAGAAATTTGTTTATTTTCTATATTTGTTTGCGTTTTTTCTTCGATTATTTGTATGTTGAGATTATCTTTTTCTTTTTATTTCTTTGAAATATTTCGCTTTTTATTTATTTTATAATATAATTATAATTTTTTTGTACAAAATTATAATCTTTAAAATTCTTTAAGTAATTGAATTGGTTAATATAATATTTCTATAATTTATTATCGCTTTTTAATATTTATTTTATATGTTTTTTTCATAAAACAATGATAGCTTAGTAGATTATTTTATTTGATTTTTCTACAGACTACATCAAAAAGTGTAGAAAGAAAGAAAAGAATTATTGGTTGCTTGAACGCCACAGTAGACGTCATAAAATTTCATTAACTTCCATTAAAAGTTGATTAGTGTAGAAAATCGTTCGTCCGACATTTGTTCTCACTTTTATCCACTCAGAGTTTACTGTTTTAATTATATGAATTTACTTTTACGTTAGAGGTTTTTTAAAATCCTGAAATGAAAGTAGAATTTTCATTGAGGACAGGCAAAGGATTATTCGGACCTCTTATCAATAGAAAAAGATCTTACTTTATAATACATGTACGTTATTTAAAATTTTGTGGGATTATTATAATTAACGAAATTACTAAATTCAAAGTTGCAGTGTACACTGCAACTATAATACAATCTATAGCTTTTAATATTTTATTTTCCGATCGAAAATAAAATGAAACAACAATACATTAAATTTTGTTTTTAATTACTTATTCGTCAATATTTTTTAAAATTATTAATTTTTTGTATTCCTAACATTCTTTAATTTAAATATTAATATAATTATTTTGTATTTGGATTTTATATATATTTTAATAAAATTTTATTTTTATCAGTGAAATATTATTTTTAACATTGTTTTTACCAGAATAGATTTTCTCGGACATTAAAATGTAAAGGATTAATTTAGCAAGAAATTTAATTTGTTAAGAATTTTTTTCGCGGGAAAAGATTATTAACGAATAACGAATTGAAAAATGTTGGATTTTTTCTCATTTAAAATATCCGTTAACATGATTACGAAGAACAAATACCACTACTACTAAATTCAAACGATGATTTCTTCACATACTTAAGCTGCGGCCACGCAGGGCGCTACGCATGCTATGTTTGCTATGTTCGCTATTTTTTCTAACCGCACACAATGAAAACATAGCATACATAGCGCACACATAGTGCTCTGTGTGACCACTTACGTTGTCAATAAAGGAAGATATTTTTCGTACGTACATAGCGAACATAGCGAACATAGTGTGCATAGCGCTCTGTATGACTGCATTAGAAACGGCCACGACTCAATCGTCGAATTAAATATACATATAATTATTAACTCGCCGTGGTCCCCTTCTTGTTAAAGCAAACTGGTTTATACGTATGAGGTTCGTTCATCCATATCTTCGTTGTATCGAGCTTAATTTTTTTCGGTTTGCTTCTATACATTTACTTACGGGAGACTCTTCATATTGACTAGAGTAAAGCAGAAATGCCCATCTTGTCAGACACGTCACAAGAAAGATTCATTATCACGCAATTAATCTACCAATTATTAAATGTAATCAAACTGTTTTCTACAAATCATATTGTAACATTCAATAACATTCTGAAATAAAAAATTTGAGATTTTTTTTAAAACATTATTTTATGGAATTAGTTGGAAATTATTAATATATCACATATTATAAATGATCATGGCTTATTGTTAGTTGTTAAATTTTTTAATTGTTACTCCATTTAAAATTAAATACACAAATATATATTTTGAAATCATCTACATTATTTATTTTTTCAAGGATATTTGCAGTCTCATTGTCACGAATAAATTTTATTGTTTTTTTATATTTAAAAAATTCTTCTTTTTTAGTATCTCTTAAATCAAATTATTAAATCACAGAAAATATTTTTTTGTTTAAAATATACGAAACGTAATTTTAGATATGTTAAAATATATGAATATAAAATTGTATATTTTTTCTATTTTTATTTTTTTAATTATAAGAAAATATTTTAAAAATGACAAGTGAAAAAATTTAAAACTATGTTTTAATATTGTGAAAAGTTTTAGGTACATTTAAGTTATAAAAGAATTATTTAACTTTATGCATAAATTTGTTGTATAATACTTTAGTTAATTAACATCATAGATGCCTAATCTTTATTTTCGCAAAAAATTTTGTGGAGAAGCGCATATATTTCTGGCGACGTGTCTTATTTGAGTTATCGTAAATAATCAAAATAATTATCTTGGAATCTTTTGTTAATTAATTTACATTAGCGTTCGAAAACTAAAAACTTCTAACACATAATCACATACATTGTAGGCATTGTTCAAGGATAGCTTAAGTACGATGAGTGTGCGGGTTGTCGTTCTCGGCATATCTCGCTAATGTCCGGCATTTCGGTGTACATTTAACTGGAGTTCGCTAGATAGTTGCGGCTAAATAGCTGTAACCAAAGCGGATTTTCAGTAAAATTGCGCAAGGTGAATTAAATATTACCGTAGGAATGTCCATTACGGCTGGATTATTATTGTATCTTTCAAAAAACGGTTGTGCTGTTAAAGTGCCATTGCAATTTTTTTATTCTGATTTTTTATTTTTAACATCTTTTTTTAAACGTGCAAAAATTAATTATTCAAATTATTCATCAAATATTCAGCATTTTTTGATATTTTACAACTAAATGTTTGCAAAAAAATGTTTTAATTTTTTTTACTATTGGATGGTTTGATTTTCAAGATCGGACGTTTTTTTAGCCTCCTGATTTATAAATTGGCACATGATTAAGCGAAAGAAATTATTTGTATGTACGAAATCTACGTCGAAATGCCGGGGTTACTCTTGTAAATGTCAATTATACTTCGTTTACCTTGAAACTTAAAACTAATGGCGCGATTGTTCTATTCGTCGGAGGTCGATTGATGTCGTTTGCAGACGACACTCGATGACTCCAATTTGTGTACACGCCACGAATATTACATGGCCGTTTTTGGGCTCGAATACATGGAAGAAGTCTTAAATACCTCAGGAATTAATAATTGGTACTTTCTATCGTTGGCATGATGCGTTATCCGTCACGAATTCTTGCTCAAGCGTTCCCTGTCAACATTATCGATTCATTAATGAGGTGCTTATCATACAGAATAGAATACTTAAATTAATTTACGTGCTAGCTTGTTTACTGCAAACATAGATGGAAATCTCGTTTTCGCGAGACCTTTTTAAATTCTTTAAATATTTGCACATTGCAATCTGAAATTGATGTCATGCTTGGCGGAAGTTTTAATTTTTAACGACATGCCGTTCGTTGATTGAATTTTTTTATCACATTCGCGTTTATAAGAAAAAATTAAATTAAAAATTATTTGAATAATTAATTTTGTTGCTTTGTTACTTTCTGCAATTCCGTCGTAATTAGCGACGGACTTATTATCTAAATATTTTATATTATTTTGAAAATGAATAGAATTTGAAATATTTTGATTATTGCACAGTCACGCGTTAAATCTTTAACTATTGAATTCGTAATTATCGTTTTGTTCAATTTTTTGACTAGTCTGTAGCACGTTATTAACTCAATTGACTCGCTATTATATTTGCGTAATTTTTATAGGAAAGTGGGCGTCTTTTGTAATAACGAGTCCATTTTTGCGCAATAAATCCATCGCGTACGTTGTGCAATTGATTGTATACGTATCTTTCTTGATACACATATTATTTGTCAGGTAGAACAAATGTTAACTACTATACTATGGGAATATTTCAACCCTGTGACAAATTTATTGGTGTAGGTTGATATAGTAACAATTTTAAATTAACAAGATGCAGTGCGACATCACGATATAGAATTTTTAATGCTAGCGCACGATACAAATGTTAAATAATAAATAAAAATATATAGAATGTCCGGGAAAGCCGATAGGCCAGTAGCAGCAAACTGCTTCCATAGGAATTTATTTTTTAAATATTTATTAAAAGATACATATTAAAATGAGAATTTATCGAATTCTGACAAATATTTCGACAACATTGAACCATGTTAAATAAGAAATAGTTATTTTAATAAAGTATACAAATGTAACTAAATAAAACTTAAAAAGATTAATAAAAGTGTACTTGTATTTGTATGAATTCGTATATTAAATTATCTTCTGCACTGCATCGATTCAAACGGAATGTTTAAGAGTTATCGAATTGCGCGATAAATGGAGATATGTTTAAATTAATCATTCACATATAATACGGAAGGATCAAAAACACAATTAAAAAAATTGCAAAGCAGTTAAAGGAGGTATAATATTCAAATATTCCGATAGCAATTTTTAAAGTATTTTAGGTAGATATCCGCATTCGTGTATTAATGTAGGTTGTTACTCCGCCTCAGATAGTAACCCCCTTTTGCCTTCCTTCTCCCTTCACGAATCCAAATTTATCGAGGGATTATGCGGTCGATTACCACGCTATAATATAACTGCATCGAACGTGCAATATACGTATCTAGCAAACCGATCATGAAAAGGTGTGAATATTTCCGAAGCAGAGTTTCACAAAACAATAAAAAACAAACACTTTTTTTTACAAATTTGGCGATATAATTTTTATCTATTTAAAGAAATAGAATGTAAAATAAAATTTAAATCTTAATGCGTGAACAAATACCAATCAGACAGCCCCATTGTTGGAGATTTTCTCTATGGCATCGGTATTGTTGTTCGAATTCGTCCTGGTGGCGTCCACCTGATTAGATTTCGTGATGTCTCGTGGGCCGTCCAGGAAGTAAGTTATCATGCTACCTTTCCCTTTGACCTGAATCGTCCCGCGGCAGGTGAGCGAATATCCTTTCGCGACCAAAATATCGCGAACCTCCTGGGTGACTTGAATCCCGTCTAGCACGCCTGTAGAGTCCATCCTGGAGGCCACGTTCACGGCGTTGCCCCAGATGTCATATTGCGGCTTCCTGGCGCCAATCACGCCGGCGACCACCTGCGCAATTCGCATTATAAGTTTTCCTGTTTCGAAATTCTTAGCGGTTTTGCCAAGATTTTCTTCCGTACAGCTGAGTCCAAGTACATGAACAAAATATAAAAACTCGACGAGATACTAAAAAAAAATTACGCATTTGACGCATAGATACTCGAGTCGTGTTTTAAAGATAAAAAAATAATAAAATCGATATAGAAAGCTTTTTTTTGGAAATGTTATTAAAATAACGGTAAAAATATTTGAAAAATGTAATATAAATTTTTTAAGAACTATTTTTTAATAATATGTTACTTTTTATTTAATTTAAAGTTAATACAAAATACAATTTTATTAAGTTGTTATTATGAATTTGTAATACAACTTCAGATTTTGAATTGATAGATTTTGTTGAGTACAACTTACGGGTTACGTATGAAAAAAAAAAAATTGCACAGTAGTCAAAGATTGCTTCACGCTCTTTTGACATTACCGGTCCGATGTTGATGCCCACACGCATGCGGAAGTTATTGAAGCTGTGTTCATTTACATAGGCCAGCTGCTCGCGGATCCTCAGAGCATAGTCCGCCATAGCGACTATGTGTTTGAAATCCCGCATGTCAGAGGTGCTTTTCGTTAAGCCTAAAGCAATAGAGAAAGAGAGAGACAAGGGTAAACTCAATGTGACATTATCCCAATTGTGTTGTCCTGTGTAATTTGATTAGGGAGTCGTTTGCCTCGTTAGAGAATTGTTCGGAGATTGCGCAAAAAGTCAAGTGACCGTGGAAAATTGGATTCGCCTTTGTGCAATTAGAGAAACACTATTGGAATTAAAATTGGAAATTTTTAACGCGAAGCTAACGAGAATACTTACACCCGATAGCAAGTAAATGAAGATCAAAAGTTAGTTGTCAAGATATTTAATGAAGATATATATATTTCACAATGTTTCTTTAAATTAATCAAATCAGTTAGGGAGAATTATTAAGCTGATTTAATTCAATCAGTTTTGGCCGATCTAGCGATTAATTGCACACACAACGCTGCTCTTTCGGAAGAGTATAAAAGTCGATGACACGGAAACGGCCTTCATAACGAGCGTCGATGTTGTTAGAATTCGCGCGAAGACATACCCGAAGCGGCCATGTACGTGGCGCCCGTGCTCTTGATCTTCTCGATGTACTTGAACTGCTCTTCGGCGAGTATCTCGTCGAAATCAGCGATGATCTCGTTGAGGAGTCTGAGACATTCCACGCCCTCGTTATTTGCTTCGAGCTCGACGTAGAACTCCGAAAAGTTCGGAATTGAGGCGAACATAATGCATACAAAATCGCATTGTTCGTGGTATAATTCCTGCGAATCAATCGGTGAGCGTATCAGTTGAGATTTATTTTTATTTAAATTATTTTTTAAATGAATTTTCTATAGGAATTTTGTTACTAAACAGTTGCTAATTTTTAATTTTAAGTTATTTAGTGTTCTAAGGAAGTTTTAATTTTCAATTTAGTAAACTAATTTTGTGATAATTTTAAATTTCTGGTTTAATTATTTGTACTTTTGTGCTGAAATAAGTCAAGATTGCATTTTAAACAAACTTGAAATCATTATTTGTTGTTAAGTCTCTCTTAGTAAATCTAATTTAGAGATCATTTCTAAGCGTGACACGGCAAATTAGGCAAATGGGCAAATATTATTGAAATTCAGTCTGTAGATAGAATGATTTAACATGTCAGTCTCTAAGGGTTCTTATGTACAGTTGGGATCCAATTCTGAAACTTTGACAGTGACTTAATTGAATCGTAAACACGCAACATTGCTCAAATAATCCTTATGGGACTCTTTTCCCATTTTCCCATTAGGATTATGATATGCAATTGTTTAGGATGTTATCTATATATTTGCAATTTAAATAGAAGAAAAGTAAGAAGAAAAACAAAGAAAAATTATGATTATATATTTTATATATTTTCATATATAATTTATTATATTCTGATAACTTGTCTTAGATAGCTTAATATACTTCGCATTTCAAGATATAAAAGACTTTGTGTTATATATATCCACTTTTCAATTGTATACTGGCATTCTGGTGTTTCAATCGTAAATAGTCAATAGAAATAAAGGCAGAGACAGAGCGCTATTTAATCTGTAATCGCTTAACCTCGTTAACAAGTGTCAGAATGCATTGTCAATATTCTTGTCTTTATCCATTGTGTTTCGAGCGCACTATTCTTGTCATATACGCAGACTACAAAACAAGTATCTCGCATTTATTCAGACCAAACGTTTGTAAAGTATTATTCGAACTATTTCGTTGAAATCAAAGTTGAAAAAATATTATAATTTATAATAATACAATAATAAGAGCATTATAAAGCTTTTACGCGAATTATTTTTGAATAATTTTGCATGCAGCTTACGTCTGAATTGACAGTAGATAGGAAGTGGGCGGCTACGTGCTCCGGAAGTATATTCGCGAGCAGTTTCTGGTTGTAGGCCTTTAAGTGTTCTATCTCCTCTTTCTCCTCGGTCGCTTGCAATTTCCACAGGAAGTCTAATCTGTATTAGTATAGAGCATACATTAATATTCTTCATCTAAAGCGTGAGTTAAAAAAGTTTGCAGTTCTCTTTCATCAAACTATATTACGTTTTTAGGATAGGTAGGAGATGTTTTACGAAATGTATTAACATCAGCGATTTAAAAATTTCTAATATTTGCATGACGATGTCGCGTATTCTTTCAGCATATTGCAATACTTTATTTTTCATTTATTTTACTTTATATAGTATTAATTTACACACGTTGTAAGCAATCGTATTTTTCAGCGATATTTTTGCTGTAATTAAATTTACGTCAACATATTCATGAAATGGCTTTCACGAATGGCTTATTTGATTTTTATCTCGACTATGAAAATATTCTACGGAAATCAGTTCACAAGAGAACCGTCGATCCGCGACATCGTTCGCTATAGACAAAGGTTCTTGTGAGAAATTTCACAAGGGTCTTCAAAGGCTTATAACGTGCAACTTCGGGATATATCTTTAAGCTGACGTTGCTTCTCGGTGTGGAGGGGCGGAAGGGAGGGGAGGCATTGTTTTAGCGGCGAAGCGTGTTTGAATGTTCGACCTGTAGGTCGTCTCTGTGTGTTGAGAGTGTGCCACTAGGCAGGCCATGAAGAAAACCACCAGAACGCCCGCCAACCATCTTTCAGCTTGTTCGACGACGCCCTCATGTAGTGCCTGGTAAATGCTGACCCCGAGATAACAAGTCACGACGATGCTCAATACGATTACTTTAAAGACCGATGTTAGGATCTGGTACACCGCGCAGGTCACCATCACTAGCATCACCAGAACCGGAAACAGCTGTAATCAGCAGCAGTTGCGGAATGTTAGAATCCTTGCCGTTTCGTTGAAATTGCCGTCCAAAGTTATTGCTCGAAGTTTGCTTCTTCGCGTTACGGAATTGCGCGAGAACGGCAAATCTTTAGTTTTTCATTTCATGCTTTTGATCGTTAATTTCTTATCGCGAATTTTATATACGGCTTAAGATTTTATTGAACAATTACGTTCGTCAAAAATTAATTAAGGTAATCGTAAGCGTGATCGTTTAACATTCGTCTATTATTCGCGTGTCTTTCACAGCGATTTCGCGAACTGGAGCGAAAGCGGATTTAATTTACGAATATCTCGGTCTTCCACTCAGTGTTAATATCGCACGTTTTTATTCAACTTACATCACAGAAAAGGATATAGTCGCAGGTGCCTACGTCGACGTTTGCTGGCACTTTCTGCACGGCGGAATTCTCATCCCACTCCGCGAAAGGCGAAGCGTTAGTGTTGTTGCAAACGTCAATTCCGTCTAGTGTGATCTGCAGTGAGAAAAGCAACACGAAACGATCGTTATTTACCGCTGTTTTACTGCGTGGACGCAGATCGTTCGATCGCTAATGGCGAACCCCGCGATCTGGCGTACGACCGACGCCGCTCTTTCCGCTCATGATTCAATCGCGAGCGTTCGCGGCGATGCTATTATTCCGCAGTGTTTATGATTAATTGCTGTATCGACGCTCGCGCACGATTTATCGGCGAAAGTTTTAGCACCGGTGATTCTAACTCACGTCGCGCTATAATTCCTGTATAACGAGTTTTCTGAAACGGATAACAGGATCTGTTATTGGATTAAAAAAATAAAAACGGAAAGCATACGCCGGAAACTACGCGACGTCAAATAAATTGCTTATTTAATTTTGACATTTTCGTATTCCACGCTTTTTGAAAGCTTCGTGAATAATAAAATGTTGCAAATTGAAATTTTTCTTTACGCACTCGCGAAACACGAAGATGTTATCGATATCGTAACATGCTGTTTTTGATACATGAAAAGCGTTTTAGGTAGCAAAATTCATGATAGCATGAAATATAAACAATAGCCATATAAACAATTGCGCTTCGATCACTTACTAGTGGTGATAATACCGTGATGAACGTCAGGAACACGACGATAGACGCGACGCCCTGCGCGACGATGCGATTCTCCAAGATTTGCAAGGCCGCGCTTCTCATCCATTGCGGTACCTTCTGCAAAACGTGCACGAGATTTCTATTTCGCCCGTCTAATTAAGTTCGACGAGTACAGGAGATTATCCCGCGGGATTATTGAGAGATCAACGGGCGCGCCATAGTATTGAATAGTATTGATAGTTTCGGCAGTGACCTGGAAGCTTGCCACATGGTCAAGGTCAAAAGGAAGTGGCACTCATCCAGAGTTTCGTCATCGACCCAACGTGGCACGTGATGTATCGCGCGATTTAAATATCGTGCTCGATATGCGTTCATTTTGACATTAATGCGATGAGAAGGAAAATAATTGTAGTTAGGAATGTATTTTTGCTATCCCAAAAACCTCAAAACGTAAATAGCTTCTTAAATGTATGGAAGTATTTATCAACATACCTCATTTTTTTCTGCTAATAAGATACCGTTAACCACGGCTATCACCAATATACTAATTCCTGTGCAGATGTAGAAGTACATGCTCCTGCGAAGGCAAGGATATTTTTAGCACGATGTTTTTCGTTTTTTCTGTCTTTAATGCTTTCAATTTTGTAATTATCAGTTCTATCTTTAATGTTATCGATTTCTACTGTTATTCTACTTATCGAATTATTTTCGTAAATGTGTTTGTGAGTATTGAAATGGAGCATAATTGAGCTTGAGTAGACTGTTGATTATTAATGGAGTAAACATCATAAAAATACGCAGTTACATAGGAGATAGAATTTATTGATTCGTATATTTACCTGCTAAGGGTGATGGCTATTGCGACCACAACGACCATGTAAACAAAACCGGAGCATACAAAATAAGCCGAGAGCATCCTGTCTCTCTCGCGCGAATACTGCAACAGGTTATTAAAATAATTGCAAATATCGCGGATTATTCCTTAATTTATTTGCCGCATAACGGATGCGCTTTTGATCATTAGTTTCTGTGGACAGATTTGACGTGGATCTTCTTTTCGGCGCGAAAATGCAGAATCTTGTTAAATCGATTGTAACGCACGATTAAACGTGGAATCCAAATGATCCAAACATCCGTTTAGCGAATTAATCAAAATGAAATTTAAACTTCTATTAATGCGGATTACCACGTCGATTATATACACAGTATGTATAGATAGCTTAGTACGTAATTACAGTTCACATATCGTACTTGTTTTGTTGAATAAATGATGTAAAATTGAAATAATCTATATATAAAATACATTTGAAATAATTAATATTAAAACATGAAACAATCTTTACTTTTAATTTGATATAATTTTAACAAACATTAGATTATGTTAATCTAAAAATTTTATAATTTTATATTAAGATTGATTTGAAAGATGTATTCAAAATATAAAATTAGTTCCGCAAATGTTTTGCAATGGATTTAAAACATTATATTTTTTTCAATTTAATTATATAATTTAAATATTAATTAATTCATTTTAATTCAAGATAATTTTTAATTGCTTTGTAAAGTAATTCAATACTTTTTCTTCGACGTCCGGTCTTCGAAATGTCAATCTAAAGGGCGTACAATGCTCTGCTCTCGATTGATCTATGCTTCTAGCATCGATCGCTCTCATTAGGTATTCGTTCACCTCATCTTCGGGATCCTTTTCGCTCTCGATGGTTTCGACGAAACCTAATCTGCTGAAACATGCAGCAGGTGTTATCCGATTATAAGATATCGTAAAACTAACTTAATTTCCCAGCGTGTAAATTATTCTAACATAACATTTTCGACAAATTAATTTTATTTATCAACAAGTAACAATGTTTATGTTACTTATTATTAGCATTTGGAGATTTTAGGTAGTCGAGCGGATCAGACAGTTTGAATCTCGAGATCGGACGCTAAGTTAGCTCGAATCTTTTGAGCCGAAAGTATATTTGAATTCGAGATGTTCGAACTCGACATTTTTGCTTTAAACTATTCGAATCTTTTATTTGAGATTTGTTTATTACGTTATTTTTTTAAGTACAAATAATATGATCGATTTATTTCATAGTTGTAAATTGTGAATAATAGGGACATAATAATCACAATTATTTTTCGATTGTTAGGCAACATTCTGTCGTTTTCATAATTTTTGGATATTTTTGAAACTTATTTAAGCAATAAAATTATATATTATGTTGCTTTAACGTCAAAAGCTAAAAGCTTAAGCAACAATAAGAGAAGAGCTTACTTAGTTTGTTTTCCATGTTGCGAGCCGTGGCCCATAACCCTCATTTCTTTGGACACATTACCATTCGCAGGAAAGTTCTTTCTCATTCCGGAAGTAGTTATATTATCCTTGAATGTGTCACCTGGGACAATTAGGTAAGTCCTGATGTTATGGTCTTTTAAGTACGCATTTCTTTCGCCCCCGTGGCCTTCCTCGACTTCGTAGAATCCACCCAAGCAATCTAAGGTTTCCTTCGTGATGTGCACACGTCTGCGAAATACCATACCTTCTCTCTAATATTAGCTTCGTTGACATAATTTAATTTTTCTATTGATATTGAGAAAATTGTTTTCGACGAAAATAATATCTATATTTTACGATATTTATATTTTTGTTATTTATTATTTAAATAAGTTCCGGGATTGAAGAATTGTATACAGAGTAGAGTGAAGCGAACAGAAACAGGATCACTCCTGTAATTTATGGCTGTCAATCGGGACTAATTTGAAGAGGGTAAACTGGTCGAAGGCTGACAAACCTCGAACAAAATTGCTTGTACTCACCCGGGTATCCCTCCGCTTTCCATGTAATTGGCTAGGGTCACGTCGTTGCTCCAAACATCGAACTGCCATTTCCTCAAACCGAGGACCCCGCAGTGAACCCGACCCGTGTGGATGCCTACTCTCATATTTACGTTTACCGCCATTACCTCGCGAACCAACCTGCCGAGATATATACGAGAATTTATCGTTCCTTCCGGTGTTAGGCGACGAAATACATATATATAATAGTTGGATAATTCGTCCGAATTCGTGTCACGAAAACAACTTTTTTACCGTTAAGTACACCCCGAGAACGTACTTAAAATGAAATATTGGAGAAGTTATTTTTGTTATTGATGAAAAAAGAGGAGCTTTTATATGCAATTATCGATTTTTTCGTGACAGTTGACCCACTTTAAGTGCTCTTCAATTACAATGACTGTTCTCCGAACGCTCGCGTTCTTTCGTACGTAATTTCTCGCGCGCGTCTATTCTCGTACGTTGGCTTTTTGTCGCGAGAATACTTTACAACAACGTTTTACGTACAAAAATTGCGAAACGTATTTCAACTGCAGTGTCAAGTTCGATGGGAGAAAGATTTACAAGAAATATGACGCTCTGTATGACGAGGGTTAAAGCGAAATTAGAATCAAGTTTAAACGCATATAGCTGGTAATATATCCGCAGTGACCCGCGAATGACGAGGACCTTTTCATTTGGCGACACGTATCGACCTCAATCGCGGGCACGTACTCTGCGCTCTCCGAGGAAATCTCCTCTTTGACGATGAAACGCGTTTTATGAAAACACGAACGAAACGAGCAGTGGGGCAGTGCGCGGATATAACTGCGCCGGAAGTTCTGTGGTCGTCTCGCGAAAGCATCTTTATTGCTCGGATGTCACTTTGATCCTTCTAGTCCTCGGTACGTGTTTCAGCAACTTTCGAGATTCTATTTTCAACTGTTTCTTTCTCAAGCCAACTAGGATATTGCATATTATGTGACTCTTTGACTTTGCTAGTCAAATATCAATGTATTTGGAATCGTTGCAGATCTATCGATTATGCTTTAGTTATTTATGTATCTTACGTTCTTGAAATAACACGGACAAAATGATAGCAATGTTCTTACACGGTAAATGTATAATGAAGCTATTGCTTGGAGATAAAAGAGGTAAAGGACTTACGTTATTGCATCGATCATGTCCAATCCCATCTCTACGCAACAGTGAGCATGATCGGGCCGCGGTTCTGGAAGCCCGGAAACGCAATAATAGCAGTCTCCAAGGAGTTTTATCCTGAGGCAGTGATGCTCAGCAGCTAGCCTGTCAAACCTGCGCGATATTTCCGCGAGTTTAACGATAACGATTTATTGAAACGTAACAATACAGAGGAAACCTAGCTATCGAACGTAAAATCCACTTCGGGAAAATCAAGAGAAATATTTTTCGCAAAAATGTTACGTAACTCTTTGGCTTTTGCAGTTAAATCAACCTCTGCAAAAGCCAATTTCGTAACAATGTGTACAAAAGATATTTTTCCTTATATAGCTAAATTTCATGTTACTTCAGTGATATTTTTCTAGCATGATTTTATATGTAAACATACACATCGTATTTTAGAATTCGTATTTTTATTATTTTGTTGCCAAATTTCTTTATTAAATTTTTAATTAAATTTTTTAATTAAACTTTCAATTTTGTTGCTACTTGTCTTTTTCGACGTTGACATTGATGTTATTGACGTTGCAACATATTTCGTCATGAAAGCGCGATTGAACAGCATTACGCAGAATATAAATACTATACAGCGGTCCATTAATTCAAGATGATAGAGGAATGGCGCGTTAACTAAAATAAAGACACAACCGGGAGATAATCGGTTTATTTAGATTAGATATTCAGTGACATCGCGCTTCGCGCAGCACATACTATATGGAATTAATTTGGGACGCCAGAAGGGCGATATTAATATTTCACGCGCAGCAAATCCACACAACACGTAGTATGTATTATGTTAAACCAGTTTAGAACGATGGAGGGGAAATAACAGTCCCGATGGAGTTGCGCGGCCAAAATGGTAATTAAATTCAACTCAATTATTAACATATTACTACTAAGTCTTTTAGATGTAAATTGATGTAATCGACTTTTATTTTAATATTGATTCCGAAAATTTTTAAAAATATTAATATGCAATATTTATCGTTGTTATTTTATTATAAAGTATATAAAAAAATGTATTTATTTGCTAAATTTGTTTTACATAAAAAATGTTCATAGATGGCTAAATTGTTCGCTGAATTGTTTCCATTGATGTAATTTAGGGAGATGTACGATATAATCTTTAATTATTTTTTGATAATGCTAGAGAGAGAGAATTGGTAAAATGTCACGCTACCTTTTTTCGTCAAATGTTATTTATACGTCTTTCGTATTCTTTATTCTTTCCTGTTTTTTTTTAGAAAGACACTTGTTTTTTCTTGTAGAGTTACATTCCCAGAATTCCAACAAGTTATCTAGACTATTGATGTGTGAGAGCGGACATTGTCTTGAGAAGTGAAAGCCGTCTATATGATCTTTTAGCAAATCCCTCTTGGTAGTAGGATAAGTAGACTCTATTGACCAGAAAAGTCGACAGGGACGTGATATTCGGAGTTGCCGAAGTCTTTCTGAGCACTTGTAGGACATGAGGAACATGATTTGATTGAAACAAGACTTGAGGAGGGTTGAGAAACCCTTGATATAAATGTAGATTGACAGTATTCATCAAGATAAAAGCTTGAGGGTGTGCAAAGTATCTCTTGATATAAACGTGGAATATTATTTTACAAATATGTCATTGATATTTGTGGCATTTTGTAACATTGATCTATTGGATCGCATTGGAAACATTCGTGCAATGTTCATACAGTATTCAATTACAAACATAATTTAATATTAATGTTTATATGATTTAATATCATTTATATAACATAAATTTAATTTTATATGATAGAGTGATTTACTATTTGCAAATTTTGTGAATGCACTTGATTTTTGCATTGTAAGTATATGAATATCGAAAATATTTCAGTATTTATGCAGTTATACAGTGATGTTAGGGCGGCATTGCCATAAGCAGATTGTAGCAGGCATATGTAAAGCATTATTATTATATTCTCAAAATATTGCAAACTTTATGTAAAGCTCACAATTCGTCTCTCGCACAATAGAAATGGCCAGGTCAAAGGAACGACAACGTTACATAATTCGGTTTGGAGATTACAACAACGTGACGTAGTTTACGAAACGCAACGTGTGTCGAGGTCAAAGTGATATTCGACAAAGCGGCGCGATTCATTCGTAAGAGACTTCAAAGAGGAGATTTGTATCCGCGGATGTAAAGAGGATTTTGCAAATCCGAGGAAGAAGAATATTTACGAGATTCAAGAAATCGATGTTGAACCATGAGAGAAGGAAGCGGAAAGAAATTGATGCTGCAAGTCAAACAGTTGTAAACATATACGCGTTGAGCGCAGCGATCTGCTGCACTTCTTTCAAACGTAATTACATATTCTAAAATGGGAGAAATCTCGATGTGTAGGTAGTGAATAATCCATCGGGTATTTTGAGATCTTTTAGTTGCATTTTGATTAAATTTTATAAGCCTCCCAGATTAATATTTCTCACAATTAATGATGCCGTTCTTGGTAACATTGATAATATAAGTATATTATTTTTTTCTAGGGAAAGTGTGTAACTAGCGAAAATATAGAAAACGTAAAGAGATAATTAAATATTGATTAGAAATGCATTATTTATACATTAATATAATTAAAATGTAATTAATAATATATATATTCTTAAGATTACTCTCAATAATATTATAGCGTTTCTTACCGCGCAAAAAGTTCGTTGAGCAATCTGACGAGCTCTTCGGCAGTGCATTGATCGGAGAGCGAGGTAAATCCACAAATGTCGGCGAATAAAATGCTGAAATGTTTGAAGTCAATTATTTTATAGTTAAATTAAATTTTAAACAAGCATGAAATTTTTTTAATAATGGAGAAAATTTTCTTTTAAAGTAAATATCTTTAAAAAGTATTCTCTAATTATTATTTTAAATTTAATTTTCAATTCAACAAGCTGTGGGGTATTATTGGTTCAAATATTTCGAAAGGGGGAAACTAGAAATGAAAAATAGCCGCAAGTTCACGGAAACTCATTAAAGTTAAATGAACATGACATTTACTCTTTGCGCAATCCTGTTAAGTTAAATTGACCTGAGTTCGGTGAGACGGCAGATATGAGGGTTTGTATGTTATGTCTCAACCGAGCCAATCTAGAATTCTCTCTATGCAACCACGTGTATTTACATCTGATGCACGGTAGCGTGATGAACCGTCATGTTTTCAATTATGCAGCATGAGTGCGTAATTGTACGATTATGCGTATCATTTTGTATGTTGCATGCGTTTATGTTATTTGATAATTAATACGATGTTATATCGTAAATATAAATATCAGTAGTATTATAGAGTACACGCGATTTCGAATTTGTAATTTGTGGTTAACAGATTTATTTCAAATACAGCTGTACTTTAAAAAGTATTATTCTTAAGAAATGCAAATTTTGCGGAAAAATAAAAATCTGTGCCGCACGTAAGAATCATAAAGTTTGGTTTATTGCAGACTTTGTAGTTTTAGCGGTAAATTTCTCCGAATAAGTAGCAAGACGAAACTAGGTCTCATTTGCAAAATGTTAAAGCGGCATTTTTGAAGTGGCACTTGGACTCTATTTTTAAAACGCGCGTTTTAAGTGGATATTATTTGTTTGCGGATCATCGATATATACAAATACGTACCTAACATTCTCGTGTCTTTGAATATAAATTTTGTGAAACATCGTGTCTTTCGGCTTTCCGGCTATGTCGGCTTTCATTTCCATAGCAACGTGTCTGGGTAACACGCTGAGTAAAAGCCTCTCCTGAGAAATAAATTATAGTTAATATTACAGAAAATATTTGTATTTTGTGTAATTAAAAAATAAATTAGTTTGTAATATTAATTTAACTGCAATTTTTTTTGTTGAAATTAAAGAGAGCCAGGGAATAAATTTTGTTGAATTAAAGGAGAGAAATAAATTAAATTGAGGTTTAAATTAATCGAGATTGATAGAAACCACTATTCATAAAAATAGAAAGGACCCACTTTGTATTTGCTTGTACAGTAGTACACGAATCACATGCATGTCTGGCTAATGAATATAGAAATTCGTGTCAAATGTAGAAACGACTGCACCTACAAAAATCGCGTGTACACGCTCTGCTTGTTTTACAGTGTTTCGCATAACGACGTCAGCTTAGAACATTACTTTTGTTTTTGTTGCTTTCGCAGTGCAAATACGGTCCACATTGTCGTTGGTCGAGGTGTGCGGCTGTCGGTTATCAGAGATGGCGAGATAGAACATCGCCGGTGCATGTTCATTGCTGTTAAATGCATACGCACGTCCCACGACGTCGTTATAACGGCGATGCGTCGGCTGTCGCACATACCGGGTGATCGGGGGCGATTAACAAGCGGGCGTGAACAATAGCTGATGGGTATCGCGATCGGTCACGGATTTCTGATTAATAGCATAAAGCCCTTCGTTGGAGCTATAACGGTGCCGTGGTTATGAGCGATGTACGATAAAACGTTATCTTTAATAGATTCTCCTAGCTTATTTCGGTTTCCGTTATTTCCGTATGCCGCTGAAAATAGACCGTAATTGAGGACTTTCGATCGTCATTTATTCTCGTCACAGAATGCTGATATTTTAAGTAATGGAAAAGAACATTTTGAACGATATTCAGTCATTTACAGATATCAAAATACAATGAGATAAATATTAATACAATAAAATTTTAAAATAAGAAATAAAATAAATATAAAATAAATAAATGATACAAAATTAGAACTCTGTATTAAATACGTTTGATTATTTGTCTTAGATATACGAAAAACACTGTTTTGAAATACATTTTCCTGTTAATTTAAAAGTTTATCTTCTACTAAAAAGTCTCAAAAGTTTATCTAATCAAAAGCGAAACTTTTAACAAAGCACGCCAAAATTATATCCGCTGGACAAATAGTTGATGAACATTCGATGCGCTTTATTTTATCAAAGCTTTTTGGCAAACAATTCGTCCATTAGTTTTCGACAATTAAACAATAACAGGTTTAGGCGAAATAAAATTAGCAGGACTTTGTTGGCCAATCGTCGTTCCGGCATTTTGAGAGCACGCATTGTATTGTTTTAATGTGCGCAGTGTTTATTAGCAACAATGCATGGTGAAACGCGCGTATACCGGGTTCTGTATTGGATTCGCGGTATTGTAAAATAATGATTATGCCGCAATATCGGTTAACACGCTCTCGCGGAATAAAGTTTTCATGAAAACTGTGCGCGTTTCATGAAAACAATAACGCGCTTAACAGAAGATTGAATAAAGTTCTATTCACAGAACAGTAACACAATTTGATTCTGCATATTAGTATCTATTAAGCTGCCTCTTTCTGCGACGTAAACTTTCATGAAACATTGCTTCCCATCATTTGCCAGACTGTGAGATATAATTTGCAGAGAAAGTGCAAATTTGTATTTCTATTTTTTTTTAGTTCAGCAGGTGTTAAAAATCGCACAAGTGCAACGTATTGTGTAGCTTAAAGAAATTCGTTTTCGTATGTTAATAGTGACATGATTTATTATAGTTTGTTTCTAGTATTAAAAAAAATAAATTTAATATTTATACTCTTGTATTACTCTTGTATATTACTAATAATTCCGAATGTAATATACTTTTCTGTTAAAAGATGAAATTTTTACTTAGGATCCTTGATTGCAAACTTATTGAGATATCTGCAGTATAAAGCTTGAAAAAAAAATGCTTTTTGCGATTCTGACTTGTGTATTTATTCATGACAACAATCGCTCGTGAAAAGTTCCATCAGCAAATCCTTCCGGATCTCTTCGAATGAAAGCCGAATCGAATCGCTCGTTACTGCTAGCCCCTACATTCTTTGTGCGACAGATTTCTAATCGCGCGTCCGGCAACGAGATATTATACGCGAGCCTCAGATTCGCAGCGGTGCGTTTTCACCCTTGAATCCCGTAGTTGATTGAATTCACGCCGGGTATTGTGCCACTGACTATGGCATCTGACGTATTTTAGTTGCTCTTCGTGCTCGCTTGTAGTAGATTTTCAACTCGTTCATTGGAAGCGGTAAAAAGTCCGTCCGAGTTGGCGAAATCTCACTGCTCTGATTTTCATCCAGCATTTTCCAAAGCCACCTTCACTTAACATTTTCCAATACTGGAATCATGCCGATGTCATATCGTATCCGTGCAAGAAGGCTGCCACAATTCAAAAGAAATCATTTCTTCGAGATTTTTTACATTTGTATGAATACTTTCCATACAACCTGAATTTGATCTGAAAATGTGCTGCAAGTTATCAAGGCAACGATTTTGCAACATTTTAATGGAAAATTGCTGCAGCATGAGATTTGCGTAATAAAAATTGCAGGATAAATTATGGCAATGTAAAATATTGGAGATCTATATTTTTTGAATTGTATATAATATTTAATCGATATTTACTATTTTTTTTTGTTTAAAATCTTTATAAGTATTTTCTTAAAAAGTTAACATCTTAAATTGTGACATTTTTCTTGCAAAAATGTATGCCTTTATTATAGATTTGTTAGAGCATTTCAAGAAATTAATATATTTTCTCTTTTTCTTCTTGTTAAAAGTTTCTTAATTTAATTTATAATTCTGTTTCTGTTTCTTTTGATAAGGATTTTGTGCATCTATTTTTTTATTCAAAACTATTCGAGCGATAATTGCTTGCGGTTTTTAATGCAAGCTTTGTACCTTCATGTATTCACATGCTCGCACTGTGGTTCACACTGATGGGGTCATTAATAATTAATAAAGACATCAATTACTCGAAATTCCGGTAGGATGACGAGCCATGGGAACGATAATGATCGCTATTTCCATGATGCAGCTTTATCGATAGCGATTAAAGGATAATTGATTAAAGGGATTAAAGAGACGTTAAAATAAATCTTGCAATTACTTATAGGCACTTCAAAATTTTTAGATAAAACAATTAATTTAATTTTAATATTATTTAATATTTAATATTTATTTAATATTTAATATTATTTATTTAATTTAATGTTTTTCAGTAATTATATTGTGTGCTATATTTATTAAATGTCAATTACATACTTTTTTTCTTAATTTTTTAAATAAAATGAGGTAGTCAAAAATTTTTTTTAAAATATCACGATTTTATAAATCAATTAATTTTTTTAATATTATAAATTTTTTAATTCTATTGATATATTCAATTTTTTAATTTTTTATTATACTAATTAAGCAATATTTAAAATGCCCGTATGTATAAATATTTTGCAACAACATACCTGTTGCTGATTCTCTCGCTGCGTGGTCAGACGTGCTTCGACGCATTGTCGAGTTTCGAGGAATGCCTGTCTTTGCGCCAATTCCCGGGGGTGATGTGTCAGTGCACCAGCTACATTCGTTCCACCGACTACCACGATAGAGCTTAGCAGCTAAAATAGAAATAAAGTTTTACGGTTAGATCGTGTACATCTGAATCTAAGGATTATTTCCCTAGTGTGTTAAGATATTTTTAAGCTGCGTTTATTTTTAGTTCGTTCCTCTTCGTACATTAACGAAATTAAGATATAATCTTAGCGCATCAAATGAAAAGAACATTGAAAATTTTATGTTGGTATAATCTCTCTTTCTGAAATTTGTAACGAAAATACGTACTTTGAGGATTTTTGTATTAAATATTCCAAAAGTGCTATATTAAAAACATTAGTATTAATTTTAAAAAAGAATTAGAAACAAATTTTTAGTAAAAATTTTTGAAGAGAAACAATTTGTTTAATTCTTTAATTCTAATTTAAAATTATACGGTAATTATATGCTTAAGATGTTAGAAGTAGAATAAACGGATTAATTTATAAAGTTTTTCTACATGTTAAATATTTTAATAATTTTAATTTGTTTTTAATTTTTAATTTCAACGAAAGTAGCTTACTTAAAAATTTTATGATGCATTTGTTTGAAATGCAATTCTGTCCTTGTAAGAGAAAACAATTCATAAAGCGACAGACCGCTTCTTTCCGATTGTAACGACAGAATTGTATGCGTGTTCATGAGAGGCGGCGAAAACGAATGAATGGATTACAAGTGTCGCAGGACGAAGACGGAGAACGAGACTGCTAAGGAGAGCTTTAATGCTGGATCAGTGGCTGTAAGCCGAGGATCGCATAGAAAGGAAAGGGACTTTGGAGGAGAAAGTTTAATACTGGATTAGAAAGAGTGATGTAGAGAGGGGCGGAGATTAAAGGAAGAAGCTGAAGTAGGAAGATGAAGGAGAAAGATTTTGCCAGCGTTAAAAGATGTGGAAAATGCGCTAATAGAGATAACGAAAGAGATCAACTTTGTGATGGCACAAAGATGAGATTACGGACGTTAATTCTATAATATTGCGATTATCATGACATCACGTTTATCCGTTAATAATAGATAAATCAGTTTCTCTAATACTTTTTCCTTTTTAATTAAATTAAATGAAATCTGATTGATGCTGAATTATCCTACTTTTTAAAGAGGCATGCTATTTACTTTCAAGGCCTCTTTTCCACGTTGCTAAATGGTCAATTCACGTTGCTCGTTACTATCGTGTCATCGAGCGGTTATTGTCGTGACGTTTACGTTGACGATTTTGTTTATTGCTGTTTATTACCGATCAGTTGTCACTGAAACTGCGTTTGACAGCTTGTATCTTTATTATCATATAAAAAGCAGAAGTGTTTTATTATATAACGGGAAAAATTAGCGCACGCATGGCACGCATTTGTGTATTGTAGTATAATTAAAAATAATATAGCCCGAAGTTACTTAGTTCGATAAATAATATTTTTATCTCCTTGTTGTTAACTAGAATTCATTTGTCACTATCAGGATTGTTTGAAATATTTTGCTTTAGGCTGAACTAGCCGGCAGTGATTTACACATGTGCAGCGATTTTTTATTTTGCAGCTTGCGTAATACCTTTGCGTATCAGAGTCCATTTGGTTCCGGCGGCCCTTCGGCTCTACCGACGGAATGCATATGCATGCGAATCTCGCAATCGACGAACGCTTCCGCCCTTTATGTTATACGCGTAGGAGTAACTTTGTAGCGTTGCAGTGTTCCCACGATTCGGTCGATTTTGCTGGTGTTACAAATACGATCGCGAATGCATCACACGTTGCAGTTGCGAGGATGCATGTATAGTATACGCCTGATGGGTTTGCGCATCATAACGCGGGGTCTGCTCGCGACATTTGCAGATTTTAACAGACACAGTGTGAATTGTCAGGTAAAAAGAAAAAAATCGAGCGATGAATTCGTATAAATCCGCGTAAACCGATGCCGCACAAATTGCGTATTGTGAATTTCAAACAATGGAAATGACTAAACGGTCTTTCGCGATCGCGATTACGTATCAAGTCTGAAAAGCAGACAAAATGGAGCGAGATTTTCATGAATCTATAATACTTTTTAGCAGTGTCTATTATGATTGTTATTGCAGCAATTAGCTAGGGGTTATGGAAATTTTCAGTATTCAGCTTTCTTAAATTCTTTAAATGATGCATTTAAGTATTACTGAAAGAAATTCGTGAGCTCCAAATAATGGCGGTGAGGAACTTCCGCACAATGAATAAAAATATTTCTTGTGATGCAATTATTTAGTTAAATCGTCCTATTTCCTTCGATTATATGTTTTTTGCTCTGACTTTCTCTTTTTTTTGTTTTTATTTCCCAGCTTACGATTAAAATATTATGTAAGATCCTTTATCGACATACAGTTCAGGAAGTTCGAATAGGAAGCGATAGGGACGGGGGGCGTTTCGTTCTCGGTAAATCTCTCGCAGGGTTCAGCTACCGATTGACATCGCCCTTATTTTTAGACTCCGAGCCCTAACGTGCTCCCGTTACACGATCCAATAAGCACAATGTGAAATGGAGGAGGATTAGCGGCGTCCCTCACTTTCTTTTTCACGCTGTGCCGGCGAGATGGGTATTTAAGAGGGCGGCGGCTTTTCAATGACGAAAATCGATGCCCTAGCTTGGGCAGAAGCAAAAGAAGACCGTGGCGATATGAGGTTGCTTCCGGTCGCCATTCGTGAAATTTGTTTGCGCAACGGTCAATATTTAAATAATCTCGCAGCAATATTAATTGCGGCAAACTCTCGCTTATGTATTTAGCCCTTGAAGAAACTTGTTATCGCAGTGTGTTCTAACAGACACGCCTACAGCTTGCCGTGCCATGAATTTCCTCGTGCAAATGACCTCTTAAAAGTTGTTGCGTGTTTCAACTGATTGTAAGTGGCTGCTCTTTCTTCGCCATAGAATCTGGTATATTGCGGGAAATGATAAGATCACAAAAAACTTTGTTTTTTTAATTTAGAAGACAGGTTTAATCAGTTTATGTACTGGTATAAAAGTTATATCTTTTTTTAATAGTCGAACTTTGCCCACGTAGGTCACTCATGTCTTCACGCAATTTTAACTGTTTGTTGCTTGACAAGTAATTGACAGTGCGCTGTCCCAAAGCGATACTTGAGTATATCAACTTTTCCCCTGCTTATAATGTTTTCAGAAGACCACAAAAGGCCGAGTTCATAAAAAATTCAAGATTAAAATAGATGAGGGACACATATGACCTGCATGTATCATTGGTAATAAAACAGTTATACAATTTTACATGTATAATAAAAAAAAGGTAAAATGGTTCTATAAATGTTTAGTTTTAATAATACAATCATGAACAGATTGAATAACATATTTTAAGTTTTGTTTCGTTTTTTTTAAAATTACATTTGTATTTTTAGAATATATTTTTAGAATATATAAACAGTTATTCAATTATCGTTATCAATAACTAACAGATTAATTAAAGTTAGTTAAGATGGAAGGTACATGACGAAGCACCACTTAGGGGCACTACTTAGGCTTTAATATTAGCTGTGGACGGTATATTAAGATGTGCTTGCGCAGTTAACAAATGTTAAGTCAAAGTATCGTGATTTTCTGAAACAATGTGATGTTAAGTTTCTCATGGAGTTCTTCGACAAACAGGAAAATTTTGAGGCAAAGGGTTCTGTCAAAGGGACAAGTCATTGAGTTTACAGAGAGTTTCGAAGAGGTTGTCGTCGCATGGCGATACAACCCTGTTGTGCACGGGCTTCCCGTCTAATGAAACCCGAGCATCGAGTTATTATCGGGACACCTTGTACGGTGGCTTGTACCTTGCGCGGCTCTTTGATATCTATCTTCGTAGAAGGTTCGCCTACCAAGGGGTCGGCCGACCTCTCTCGTCCTATATGGACCTTCAAAGAGAATCACTAGATCCTGCGCAAAATTGCTTTAGATGGTATAACTAACTTGTATAATCTTGGATTTATTCACAACCACCTGTAGGATCGTCATCTCGGACCCTTTAAATCGCTTCTTTTTACGAGTCACATTTTTCGGCGGTGCTTTGCAGAGCTTTAAACGAACAGTTCTTTATCCAGTGGATAAAAATATTGCAATAATTCTTCTGAAATCAGATGTTATATCAAAGAATAATATATTTATGTACCACATAAGAATAGCAATAATATCCAAAATCTATTTAGGATAATTATATATTATACCTTTTTAAAAATATTGCTTAATGACAATTCTTAAACACAGTTTTTTTATTTTCTTATTTTTTATTAATGTGGATTTTATTTGTTGGCGAATACAGATTTGCATTTAAAAATTTGCATTTAAAAATTTCTGTGCAATAATGCAAATAGAAAAATAAAAATTATTGTTTTAATTTCAATCTTATTGCATATTAATATAAAAAATCAATAAAAAATTGACTTTATCATTTATTACAATTTATTTCTGCACTTGACTAAAATTGTACGAAAATCCGGCTTAGTCGCTAGCTTTCGGTTACGGTAGATGATAGTGCTTCCTGTCAATTAGAATTCTGCCAAGTCAGGATACATACGAAGGTCGGATCTGCGGGTGGGTTTAATTATTTCGAGGGTTACATAGATCTCGAGAGATTCGCGGCCGTCCCATGTTATCCGCGGCAGGTTGGATCGTTACGAATTTGAGAGAGAATTCTACAAGACCCTCTTGAATATTGCATAGCATACGAAGGCAAGCTGAGCCCTCGCATATGTACACGCTTGTCCAGGAGTCCTGAGAGAGAAACGCGCCTCAACTGGTTTGTCCTGTAATAGAGGTCGAATTTCACAAGAGAATTTTAAAAAGCGTGTCGAACAAAAGAAAGAGACGTGTTTCACGGCGCGTAATCAGCTGATTGCCTTGCAAACTACATAATACAAACGAGGTTCATATAACGGCCTTCATAAGAGCATTGCATGTTATTCGATGAATTTGAGTAAAGACAATAGTATGTACAATAATGTTGATCACACATGAACAGATAATTTTAGCAAATTAGAGCAAACAGAAAAATACAAGGCTAATACGAGCCAGCAACACATACACTGTCGGTGTAATAAGAAATGTAATAAGAATATAAAACTTTTTTATTTTATTTAAGAATATTTATATTTTTTTTAAATCTTTTAATATAAAATACAGTTATTAATAATGTTATTAATTGCATTAAAATGCAATTATTAACAAACGAAAAGATAACCTTTTTATTGATTTTTTAATACGTTTTTTAATATGTAGTCAACATTTGTTTTCAGTAATTAATTAGCATAAAATAGTAGTATTAGATATATAAATACAAATTAAAATAACACAATCCACTCTTAAAAAAGGCATGAAAGATAGTTTGATAGTTTGAGAGCAAAGGTTAGTTAACGGTTATTTAAAATTTAAAAAATTTAATTAAAATATTTAGTTTTTATAATTATTAAATTATCATAATAAGTGCGCGCGCGTAACGCGCGCCTATATTGTTCTAGTCAAGTAAATTTTCACTTGAATCTAAAAAATTATTTACTTGAATCGAATAAATAATTACTTGAATAAAAAAAATATTTACTTGAATTGAATAAATATTTATTTGATTCTAATATATATTTATTTAATTCTAATAAATATTTACTTAAATAAAAAAAATAATTTACTTGATTCTAATAAATATTTACTTGATTCTAATAAATATTTACTTGATTCTTAATAATATTTACTTAAATCAAAAGAATTATTTACTTGAATCAAAAAAATTATTTCCTTAAATAAAAAAAATATTTACTTGAATCAAATAAATATTTACTTGATTCTAATAAATATTTACTTAAATCAAAAGAATTATTGACTTGAATAAAAAAAATTATTTACTTGAATCAAAAAAATATTTTACTCCACATTAGAAGGAGAAAGATAAATTTTGAACTAGTGCAGCCAGTTCAGCTATAAAGAACAGACCATATATATCAATATGCTATGTTAATTAAAAATATATAAACTTTATCGATATTATTTGTATTACACATTTTCTGACGTAATATTTAATAATTGTAATAATGATATTATCATATTTAATAATTTAATAATTAATAAGCTTATACCTCATAATCATCTCATAAGAATCACTCGATCCACTCTTAAAAAAGGCATGAAAGATCGATACTTGAATGTATCGAAAGTATTGTTGATGCTTTTCCGCGACGCTGATTGGTTATCGCGATTATTCTGATAGTTTGATAGATTGAGAGCGAAGGTTATTTAAAATAAAAAAATTTATTAAAATATTTAGATTTCATAATTATTAAATTAACACAAGAAGTGCGCGCGCGTATACGAAGTGCCTACGGTATTGTTCCAGTAATTTAAAACATTGTTGTAAAAAATATTAGCATAATTTATATTTATTAAGAATCATCATTAAATCTTTATTATGCTGTTTTTATATTGTCATTTAAAGCTGACATGATGAAAGAACTCTATAAATGATTCCCTTCACAGATTAATTTGCATTAAATGACATCTCATTTCTCGGCACTGTTTACAGAACTTCAACATAATGGCATACTTGATATATTTTGCGTATTATAACAATGAGTTTGATAATTCGCAGAAATTGATGAGAGTTTCGCCATCTTGTGGCAGATCGTATCCAATTACGAGTTCAACAGGATTTATGAACGAATGAGACAGATAGAGACACGGATCTTCCGGTCAAATCGAATGTATATACAAGGTGTCTCAGACCAACCATATCACTCATTAATAGCAGATTTCTGAGATCATGGAGACTATATCATATCAGAAATCTGTTACGGATGATACAGTTGGTCTGAAACACCCTGTATACCTTTCCTTGTAGTTTTCATGAGATTCTCTCATTCGATCATATATTTCCTGTTTCTACCAGAGCAGAGAATCGTCTTGACTTCAAACGCCAATTGAATTTTCCGATTTGTGCTTGCCGCACGGGTCACGATCTTTTTCCACCGTCCTCGTTCCACTGTTTTTCCCATCTTTCGAATCGTGAATTTATAGTTTTTCATTGCCCTAGTCAGACATTGTCCGAAATCTCGACAATCTGCACATTTTAATGAATTTTGTTTTTAATATTTATTATTTGTAACATGAATGGGGTATTGTGAGTAAAAATCTATAATTTTAAGCGGAAAAATTGATAGAATAATTTTAAATTTTTGGACATAAAATACAATATAAATAAATTATTATTAATAGATACTCGTATATTTAAAAATAGATATATAATACTGGATTAATTTTATTATTTTACGTTTTTATCGTAGCACATTTATCGTAACACGTTTATCGTAGCAATAACATTAGCGTAGCTGCTGCAAGCGAAAAATTGCCTCGATCCGATCTTTTCTAACTTACAAGTCGAAAATATTCCAAGTGTCTAACGATAAAAGTTTTATGAAAGACTTCTACTATACGACTGGAGAATCAAATGCGAATTGTGAGAGATGCGAGAGAGCACACAAACTGTTGTAACTTGTCACTCTATATTCAGGTCTCTACTACTCGAACCTGAGTGCAGCTCAGTCATGCATACTCGTATCTTTACTACTGAGAGATATTCGCTTGTCGTATTTACCTTTTTAAAAATAAAAATATGCCACGTACATGCGCTTGTCGGAATACTAGTATACTTATCGAAACCGTGTTGTTTTAATATATATATCAATACGTTAAATCCAAAATTTAAAAAATCCAAATTTTACAGGAGACAAACTGTTTATTTATAACATATTCCGATTAAATTGTCGAACTTTGAATTTAAAATAATTTTAAGTTGTAAATAAATAAAAAGTTTTTGGGATTATTTAAAAAAATTAATACACACACATAAAAAAAAGTAAAAATACTAACATAATAACAGAAAAAGTGAAATTAGTCAAAAATTCGAGATACGAATTTTGAACTTAAAGAAATAAAAACTTGTTTCTTAAGTTGAACGAGTACATGAGGTTATCTTAACGCTCCGTATACTTTCTTTATTAAATACATATAACATTTATTAAAGAAATTGATAGCACTTCGTAGTATACGTATAAGTATATTGTATGCAACAGTACTTACTTTGATAACGGCGTTGAAAACTATTTAATTTTTGTGTTACTTAAATTAAGACATTATGCAGTTAATAGATTAAAACATAAAATCCATCAGTAATTACAAAAAACAATATGTTGAGAATATTTAATATTGCTATATTCTTTTGCTCAATTTATATCTTAAAAACGACTCGTAATATGAATGGCAAATCCAAAAAAAAAATAATGTATCTTATGAAATATCAATATATTTTCATATAATGCAATTCTGCTGTTAAGAAATTAATATTTAAAGCGAAGAAAATCTCTTCTTTTTAAAAATGCTGTCTTCAATTAGGGTACGAAATAAAGCATGAATTATTTATGGAAAGAAGCACAGTTAGATTTATATTTTACTATTGAAACTTACGTTAATATTGCAAAAAATTTCTCTGTTTTTATGTGTATTTGCTTTAACGTGATACTTTATTTTATCTGGAGTTGTTTTTGATGTGATGATATAGAACATGACACGTGGATTTACTAGCAACAACACGTTTAAATTTTTTACATTAAGCTATTTTTGGTGCATTTCAGCGTAAGTGCTTTTTATTTGGTTGAGTACCCACCAAAATCGACGTCTGCCTAGCTAACTCCCTCATTTTGTACAAATACTATTAAAAAATTATATAATTATGCACTAATTATACGCTTATTAAATCTAAAAGAAAAAATTTTGCATTCTTTTAGTTTAGCAAAAGAAATTTTTTTTGTAAGAATTAAATGGACAGCCAGTGAGCCTCCTCACTCATTAATAACAAATAACATCGAAAAGCAAATGTGCAGGATTTATGCGCTAATTATGCGCTGTTATATGCAGATGATTTTGATTTATGCGCTCTTTTAGTTTAGCAAAAAAAATTTTTTTTGTGGAGGGGGCTGAGTGGACAGCCATTAACGCCCCCCCCCCCCATCCATTAATAATAAATAATGTCAAGAAACAAATACGCTAGATTTATGCGCTAATTATGCGCTATTATATGCAGATGATTTTGATTTATGTACTGCAACTCTTAGGGACTTCCCTCTTGAAGCGAAATAAGAGATAATCATATAGATTTAGTGAGCGCATAATTAATGTATAATTGTATAATTTTTTTATTGAATTTGCACAAAGGTGGGGGGGGGGCTAGCCAGGCAGACGTCCAAAATTGTTTTATGCGATTAGTACATTGCAAAAATAAAAATGATAGTGGTAATGTTTGTCATCTCATATGCAAATCCATTAAATTTGTATAGTAAAACTCTAGTAAGATTTTGTTAAAATTACAATTAAAATTAAAATTTTCTATGAAAGTAAATTTTCATACAAATTCAGTGAAAAAAATGTTATTTTTATGTGAATGTTTTACAGTGAGAAATATAATATATAACAATAACTTAGATTAATTAGAGGATATTATTATAAATCTTTTTTCTGCATCAAACAAAATCGTTTTGTAGCGTTTAAAAATTTTTTCAATTTTTTATAATACTTAAATTTCGTTATCGCCACTGTGCAGGTTTGCTTCATAACAAAACACGTTTTCGACGTAAAATATTTTTACAGTGAATAATCCATCAAAGTTATCGATGAATCTGATGCAAGCAGACATGTTGCCATCTTCATGGCAGAACATTCATTGTATATATGCCGACGGATGAAGCGCAGTTTTTGAAAAATCGCGCCCACGTCATTGTCACGTGACGCAAGGCGTCACGTATTTTTCGCGTTATGTATGCAATTTCAAGGTATTATCTATCGCGTATGACGGAAACCGGAGATAGAAGCATAGTATTGTAATACGACTAGATTATATTTTCTGACGTAAAATAGTGTTATAATTCTTTTTTTCACCTCTCTGCAACATTAAATTCTTAATATTTATATTGTTTACAGATGGAATGGAGACATGAGATGAAATGGATGGGGCAAACGGCACAGAAGCAGCGGAACGACGATCGGTGAGTGAGTCTACGCAATAATAATCAATTTTGCATTAATTTCGACTGTATACATCTCACTTCTTAATTGAACAACTAAAAATCTCCCGTACAAATCGTTTTTCAATAGTATATTTGTATTTACGGCATTATATCTGTACATGAAATATACTTTGACTCTCCAGCGAAAGAAAGAGATATAAAAACATAACATATATTTCTAAGATTAGCTAGACATAGCTAGAATAGACATAGCGATGCGTATAGTTCGAACGTTGTGTTTACTGAGCGTTTACGACAAAAACAATCGTCGACAGATTCTCGGAATTGGAAAGACGAAAACATCTAGTTGCAAACACCGTGCGTATCTAACCTTAAACAGCAGTATCGCGTCTGCCGTGCTTTAAGACGGAGATATCGAGCGCGCTCGTGATATTTTTATTGCGTATCGAAAGAAAAGGAAAAGAAATCAAGTAAATTTGTTTTAAAATTGAATATTGGATAACTGCTCCGATTATATTATAGTTACGTAAATTTTCAATTTAAAAGAATCCGTATTTAATCAATGATTATTACACGCAATCGTGATCATTAATGTTTTTTTCTTGAATTTGATGACATAATTTCTTTCGTGTGATCATCTCTAACAATTTATGCGTCTTCACGGGTTATTGTCGTCAATTACTTTGAAAGTAATTACTTCGTGAATGATAATGATCAATATTTCAATATGTGAATCATAAGTTACTATAGGAAGCTTCAAGATTCTTTCTTCGAGGGACGTCTTTATAAAGATTGGCTTTTCATACGTCTGTGTCCGCTAGACAGAATAATAACACACGAATTTTGCTAGTATCGAAAAAGTGTATCGGATGATAACGTCGCGAAAACATCGTTAATTCAAGGTTGAGTGTCGCAAGTGTAAACGCAAACGCAAACGTTATGTCGATGAATAACTATCGTCGCGAACATACAAAATTTGTAAGTGCCGAGTAAAAGTATTGAACGATTATAAATTTTTAAATACCGCGAGTGTCATCGACTTATCTTCATGAAGAATCGAAGTCTGGGACAAAAAACGCAATGGATCATCCGACGGCAAAAAACCAGCGGAACGACAACCGGTGAGTTTGTACTATCTAATCATTATTATTAATTATATACTAGATTAGGCATGGTTAACTTCGGCTCCGGAACTGCAATGCTTCCCTCTTTTTTTTTGTCTCGCGAAGATGGAGGATCTATATAATTTATGCGGTTCGTTGCGGCTTCAGAGCCAAAATTGACCATACCTGTACTAGATTTAGACATACTGCGAAATGATTTGTACGGTGGTATATTAATAATCCTGGTTTTTTTTATGTAATGCATTATTGAAAAATACTTGCTACATAAATCATTATTTATAAAATTATTAATTAAATCACTGTTTATAAAATATTTGTTAGTAATATGACCACAAAATTATTTTAAGAATGTCAGAAGCATACCAGAAGTGAGATGTATACATTTTATTTGTATTTTTTCACATTTTTTAATATTATTTTATTTATGTGCAAATGATTGATACAAGAATAACAAGCGTATACTCACATATTACATTGTTATATTTTTTTATTCTATTAAAAATTGCACTGAATTTATTTTTAACTGTACTGACTTGACTGTGACTGACTGTGACTTTTTAACTGTAGATAGGAGAAAATATAGAATTATTATTATTGAATGCATTGACATAAATGTGGTCAATCTGACCCAATTAATAGTTACGAAATAAACATTAATTGACCATCAGTATTTACTCATCCACTTTATATAATATCCGTTTGTGAGCAGCAAACCAAACACTTAATACTATTAACGTGATATCATTGTTATTTGTTTAACTAATAATAGTTTCTGGGTTATGTTGTGAAATATGCAAATAAACAATTTCTCGTGTACGATTAAAAGTAAGAAAAACATTTTTTGAAGTAAATAATTTCTTCAAAAAATCGAAAAGTATCAATGAATAAGTATACTAATTATAAGTAATATTTAATAATAGTCAACAATTATTTACCAATACTTTAATCTTGTATTTAAGAATTTTTTTACGATTTTTTGTTATCAATATTTAAACACGTTTCTGCATATGTAAGAGTTGTTAGTGTAAAAATTTATTCATTGATATCGACAAAACTCACATATATATCTTATATTTAACTAAAGATACAGGCTTCATATATCGAACTTTAAACCGTGTCGAGATTCAAGAAAAAGACGTGATTATTTAGATTTCATGAAAAATCACTCGCGATAATCGTCGAGTTAATGGCGAGGTAGCAGTCATGCGTATTGCAATTAAACAACGTTCGGTGTTGAGTTTTACGTTCGCGTTGTTAAAGTTTTATTCGAACTTTGTCGCCAGATTGGCAGCCGCATCGACACGGGAGTCGAAGTGTTCTCCCGAGCGTGGAAGAAATATTGATTTGCCTTTTTTCTTCCTTTCCGCCTTCGTGTACTCTTCACCGCTGAGCACCCACGCGACTTCCGTTTTCGTAGAAACTTACTAGTCGAGAGATGCATTCGGTCGATTCGTCTAGCGCACGTGATCATCGTGAGACGTAGCATTATCTTTCGATTCCTGCTCACGTTTCGCTCTTAAAATGAGTATACGTGCTCACCGTCATTTATTACGATTTGCTAGAACTGCGGTAACTCAAATTTTCGTCGGAGTCGAGGATAGACAATTGTTTTAATTTGAGAATGTTGTATGAGAAACAGAAATTTTTTTAAAAATGATGCGTCTGTGATTAAATTATCATAGTTTATTGCATAGGGCATTGATATCCAGTAATTGCAAATACATTGCAAATTGCAGAATTGATTAATTTTTTAATTATTTATTTTGAATTAATTTTAATAAGTATATTATAATTATAAATTCCATTTTTATTAAGTATTACTTTCAGTATTATTTCCTTAATTTCTTTTTTAGACTACATAATATAAAATTTTCGCAAATTAATAATTAAAATCAACTACATTTATTATAATTTAAATTTATTAAGTCGTTTTGTATCTTATAATTAATTTCTGTTCGATTTTGTAGGAGAAAAATAATCTTGAGGCATTTCTTTTATAAAGAGCGCCATTATCTCAATGTCGTTTGATCGTGCCATTCCATTCCATTTTTATCTTCTTGGTCTTTGTTTCCTTGAAATCTTCTGGCGGAGTCGCGATTTTACGAGAAAAAAACCTGATCCTGAGCCATTGAGCGATCGGGTTCCTCGTTACGATATTGTGTCGTAATTAAAGGAGTACTTGCACTGGACTTAAGAAATCGCAAATCTCAATCTTTCTTTATCGACGTCGTCGAAATGTGATCTTTATTTAGTTTTATGGTGTGTGTAATTTTTTAATTGATAGCTTTTAATGAACTCCAATCTGTAGCTTTACCAATTAAAAGCCACAACCTTATTCTAAATTAATAGTTACTTTGGCTAAACTAATATGGTTTTAGCATTATTATTCGACACAGGAAATATTAATCACATAGAAATTTGTTAGCATAAATACTATCGGTTTTTATTGTCACAATAAACTTGCGCGCTTATCATAACGAATAAACTAAGACAAACTAAAAGACTTTCTACAATCTCGTACTCAATTCATTGTCTCATTAAAAATTGTCGATCTAGTTGCTTCGCACAGTACAAAAACGCGTATTCGTTGCAAAAGAAGTTGATAATGAAGTCGTGATTTTTCGACTGGAATCTGATTTATTAACATCTGCCAATTTAGCCGCTTATAGAAACGACACGTTTTCACTCGATCGAATGCAGTGCACGACGAACTTCGATAGGGAGCGATTATAATTCGTAAATAGATCGAGTCGTACGACATCGCTTTTGTTCCGCTCGTAACTTCCGTCGACACATGTAGTGCTCTCGTGTTAATTAATATATTAACACACAGAATTTATTTTGTGGCCGCGGTATTAGAAAACAAAGATTTTTATTTGCGCATTGGGATCGTTGCCGCGTTTGAACTGCTTTTAAAGTGCGCCGTTGAATAATGTGTTTTTTCTATCGCGCACTCGCGGAACGATAAAACTTCTAACATTTATGCATTCGACTTCTTCTAGAATTTGAAATCGGTATTCCGTACCGCGGAATACCATATAATATGTAAAATGTATTTGCAGATTAATTCAGTATTTAAAAAAAATAGTAAATTATGAATCACAAGCTTTAGCGATGCTTTATAAGTCTAATGGTTGATGAATACGGAAACGTTTTAATTATAGCTAAAAATGCATTCAGATGTAAAATGTTCTTGATGAGATGCAACCAAGGCGTAAATTGCATCTCAAGTCCTGCAACAAGTGGAACTTCTCTAGAATTATTAATATAAAATTCTTAAAGAACTCTTCTTCCGTTAATTTTAAAGCATTTATGATTCGTTAGTTTCTAGCTCTTCCTTAACGTTTATAATAATTTTATCTACACGATTTCTTCTTATATTTTCACAAAATATGGTTTTTTTGTGGCGAGTTGCAGTTTTATATTTTTAATGCTTATTTAAAAGTACTATTATTTTTTTGATATGTTAATATAATTTACACTGAACATAATTGCAACACGATTTAACTTAATCATCACAGTAGTACATATAACTCTTTTTCATTACGTTAATTGAAAGTTGATTAAAATTCAGCAGAAGAGAGCAATAAGGTAAACATGGAACAGCAAAGAAAAAGAAGGCATGTAATTTACGGCAATGAAAATTTAAAGCCGCATTCATTGCGGTTACGTAGATTATGCACGTAACACACCACGTTTGCATATTACTATACAGCGTTCTAAACGTGGCGTGCAGTCAAAGGCGTGACTTTGTTTCTTTAAGCATGATACATTTGATTTTTACTGAGAAATCCGTTTAGCATCGATAGTCAAAAGTTTTTAAATAATGAAAGAAATACATTATTGTTAAGAAAGATACTTTGTTACATATTCAGTTAATAAAATTGTTTGTTA